TCAGATCCCCAGCCCTGCCAAAAGCATCAATCACAATATTGTAGGTCACAATTGTCCAGGAATAATGGTATTTCTGCATGTACTCCATCACAGCACTCATTTTCTGGTAATCCTCAGCCTTGCCATAGGAGTCTAGGAGGATATTGAAAGTCTGAACAGTAGGCTGCAATCCAGCATTCTGAAACTTCTCATAACATCTCTCCATTGTTTCTATTTGCCCTATGTTGCCAAAGGCTCTTAGAGTTGAATTCATGGTCCATACATCAGGTTCACAATCCGAGTCAGCAAGCATTTCCACGAGTATGGATTCCATCTCTGCAAACCTTTAAAAAAAAAAGAGAGAGAGGAAAACAAGATTAATGAGTGGAAAAATGCGATTATATCATGCTGCTATCTGGTTGCTAAACATCAAAAAAATAATTAAAAAAAAAAAAACTAAGTGACTGAAAGCGAACAGCTTCTCAACTAAATTTTAGCAGAAAGCGAAGAAAGGGCAATGGAGTGCAAGAATGGATAACAAAATGAAAGTGCCTAACTGCAGCCATAGCAATGCCCTCTGAAGAAGTACTCATTAATTTCACCATATTAATTATGGTCGCAATTTGTCTGTTTATCTTTGCCCAGCTTTTCAAAGGGACATTATCATATAGTGATGTCTATAAACATTTCCTAGCCCCTCCCTCTTGCTTGCTATTAATGTCTAGAGTATGAAGGCAAAGTAGCAGTCAACAGACTCACATTTCAAATTTTTTCAGCAACCAGACTCAGCATGCAATATTTTTTTTTTCCAGTTAAGAAGGGAGACACAGGTGGACAATTACTTTTTTGCCTTCCCATAAGCATCAATTAGGGTATTATAAGTAACTGTGTTGGGTTTGATTCCCTGAATGGCCATATCAGATAGAAGATGGTGAACTTTGTCAAAGGCAAAAATGTGCAGACATGATTTAATGAGGATTGAATAAGTCTGGACATCCGGCTGACAATCAGGAATAGTCTTCATCTCCTCAAGAATATAGAATGCTCTGTCCAAGAGACCACTTCTGCTATAGGCAGATAACAACGCAGTGTATGCTTCACAGGACAAATAACAACCCTCGTCAACCATAGCTTGAAAGAGCTCATGGGCTTTCTCAGGTTGCTTGCATTTTCCAAGCATGACTATTAACTTGATATAAATGCCAGAGTTCGGTCTGTACCAGAGCTGTTCACGCAATAATTCAAAAACCTGATACCATGAGAGCATTCATTAATATTGAAAACTCAGTTTCTCTTCCGTAAGAGAGAAATTCAAGAAAAAGCAAAAGGTGACATATACAGATGCACAGGCCATTACAGACTTATATGTCGGCAAAAGTATTTGGATTTGTTCCCCAATTAAGATTTCTAAAAAGAAAATGAAAAATCCTATTTTCATGACAAATTCAAGAAAAAGCAAATGGTGACATATACAGATGCACAGGCCATTACAAAAGTATATGTCAGCAAATGTATTGGGATTTATTCCCCAATTAAGATTTTTAAAAAGAAAATGAAAAATCCTATTTTCATGACAGATAGGCGCATTTTCAATTCATCCTCCACAAATGTTTTCTTTCAATTTAATCCCTTATTCATTAAAATGCTTTAATGATGCCATTTCATCCTACCTCTGTCTATAAATTAACAAAGAACCCAACAGAATGTCAGAATGTTGACTGGCACCAATTAACTTGCTTGATATACACTTTAGTCCGCATTAAATAAGAAACCCCAATTAAGAAAGTTAATAAAATTCAGAAGCACTACATCCCTAAAGTTCACTCATCCATCCTAATCTGATGCACTGTGTTACCTACTGTAGACCGAGGAAGTTAGATGTGAATCAACTGGTTACCTCAGTAATCTGTCAGCTTCATTAATTTGTCAATGGAGATGGGATATGGGTGACATTGAAAGCATTCTGAATGAGGAATTAGAAAGTAAATAAACTTGCACGACTAAGTGAAAAATTCAACTTATCAAAGGGAAGAAAATAAGATTTTCCTTTTTCTTTTTCTCTATGTTGTATTTTTACTTTCCTCGTCTTGAAATGGATTATTTGAGACCAAAAGTTAGATTGTTGAAGAGAAAAAGCAAGGACCAAACTTATAAATTTTAAGACTTAATTAATGCTGGAAAACCTTCGACCTCCCTCTATGAGTAACACATCAACCTCTTTCAACTGGTTTCCATTTCTTGGGTAGCTCTTAAAGGCAGCCAACAACACAACTCCCTAGATAGTGAATGTCACCAAAAGTCATCGATAGACAATTCACAGGTCTCATTTTCTCTGCTCCTTATGACTTCCCAAGTTGCAATGGGAACTTTGGTTGCAATGATTTATGCACAAAGCCAATTGAACCGAATAAATTTGTGTAGGTAAAAACTCGAGCATTATACTACACATGGGCTATGTTTCTCTACTAATAGAGTAAAAGTTTCTTTCCCTCTGATTCCGTTTCCCAATTTGTAAAGAAAAACTTCATCATGCATGCTCATGCATAAACACTGAAACCATTTTCCACATCAACATACAAGAGAGTCCACAGAGCCCGCAATCTGATTCAAAAATAATCAATAATCCATTATAACCGCCATTCATACCACGATACTTTTTGATAATCCATTTTTAACCACATTTTAAGACAATTGAACAGTACGCCATTGGATTTTAACTAGATAATTTCCATCCCATTTTCAGATAATGAACTCAATTGAGCTCAAAAGCAAAGAGACTGACCTTGAGAGCAGACTCCCACCGCAAAGCCGTGATTCTTTCATGAAGTGCTTCTAGCACGGTCCTCGGAAGCAGCTTCTTGGAGTTGGTGGGACCCCTCTTCTTCTCAATAATGGCCTTGGCGGCCTCCCTCCGGAGTATCACCGATATGGCTTTCTTCGATGCTATCTTCCGGTTCACCTGTTCTTTTCTTTCCCGCGATTCCTTCTCCTTCAGCTGCTGAACTTCCATGGCCATTCTCCTTGCACGCCCATCAGTGACTATCATCGTGCCCGATGACTTCTCTACAGCATCATTAGAGGAAGGAGATGAAGTCGAAGGGTAATTCGGGTCGGGTTCGGAATCTGCCCGAACGACTCCCGATTTATTAGCTGGCTGTCGCCGGCTTATGGCGGTTGGAAATGGAAGGGTGGTGCTGGAGATCAAAGCCATTGATTCTGCACCGCTCATGGACCGCACCAGGAGAGAAGACATGTACTATTGAAATGAGATATCTATTAGCTTCCAAATATTTAATGAAAAAAAAATTGGGAAAAATTTTTACCCTTCCATGTCAATATTTTTAAAATCAAACCAAATATTAAATTAAAAATATCAACAGTTTATAATTCACATAATTCAATTAAGTTGAACCAATAATAAAATCAATAATATAATAATTAAATTAAAATATATATATATATATATTTAATAATTTAAATATAAGAAATAAATATAAAATTATTACTTAACTTAAAAATAAAACTAAACATTTTAAATTTATCATAACTTAATAAGTCATATGATATAATACAATATTAAGTGATTAAAAAAATTGATCATTTTCTAAAAAAATTGATAAAAAAAGAAAAAATGATATTTTTTGAACAATCTGATTTTTAAAAATAAGACTCAGTTCTTGGCTTAATCCTAATTTTTAATCCGAAGCGGCTCAACCCAACCCAACTCTCCAAACAATTTTCTCAACTTGATTGATTGACAGTTCGACAAGTTCGATCCTCCAGTTTGATCCAATTTTTTATCCTTATTCCATGTTTTACCTCTTTTCTTTCGTCCTTATATTTTATTTTTATGTTTAGTAATTCAAGTCTTTTTTTAATCCGATCTGTAATTTTTTAATTTGCTTATTATAATTTTTTTGGCTTTTTTAAAATTTTTAATGTCATTTTTTAGTTAACTAAATATTAAAATTTACTTTATTAATCGCAGGAACTAAATTATATTGATTTCAAAAGATAAAAATATAATTTACATAATAAATAAGTTTAAAGTCTAAATGCTACTTGACTTAAAGTTCAAAGAGGATAATTTGTTCATTTACCCTATTTTTTATAGATTAAAATATACATTTAATATTTTAACTTAACATGAAATTTCATCTTAACCCCTCAACTTTATAAAATGTCTTTTTAATCATTTAATCCTAACACTGTTAATTTTATCCTAATAAATTTTATATCAAACTTTCAAATATTAACAAGACATTCTCAAATATTAATATATTAAGTTCATTTTTTTTCAAAATAACAATAATTGACACAAGAAAAATAATTATTTAAAACTAACCATGTTAAAATTAAAGGATTAAAAAATATTTTATAAAATTAAAAAATAAATTAAAACTTTATATAAAATTAGAAGACTATAAGTATATTTTAACTTTTTTATAAGATACTTGTTCATAATTTTTTGAAACTTTTTTATAATTTTCTGATTAACTAATTGAAATAACAGATGTTTAATGAAAAAACATTGCACAATTTTTAATAATGTCCTTCATAGAATGGTTAGTCCTTGAAATAATAGTTTAAAGACAAGAAAATACACTTTAACCCAACATTTCTCCATCATCTACTAATCTACTAACTGACTTAAGAATAAATTGCCAAACTTTCAATTCTCATGTGTCAAATATTTCATTAGGATTCACCATTGGGTAACACTCCCATCAAATAATTTATCTTGTAGTTTTTGGTTAAAAAAGAAATTATGAACATGACATTTTTGGTTAGTTGTAATTATTAGGTTCAAATGCCCTCTTTTCAAGACAAGGAAGATAATCTCTGCCCTTAACAAAATATAATTTTTATGTTTACCCAAAAAAAAAAAAAACTATTTGCAGGTTAAATGCACCTACCTGATTAATATCTTACCATAAAGATGTACATAATGAAAATAAGAAATAGCAAAACCAATTAAACATCGCACTTCAAATTGGCGCTTCCTAACTGCAAGTCACAAAGAAACGAAGCTTTTATAATTTTATAAGCAAACTGGCACTTCAAGGATAGCCACACGCCTCTCATTTACCCAAGCTCTTATAAATAATTACAGAAAGTAATCAATATTCACAACAAAACTACGAACGGTACAATTTATCTTGAACTTTATGCATATACAGGGTGCCCGCTCTAACTTCTTCACAGTTGACTTGAATCAAACTGCTAAGCTATGCAAGAGTCTAACCAAGGCAGTCTCAAGAAGCTGTATACAGAAAATATCAAAAAGATGTCATATGGTATTTATTCTCAATCAGTGGTCAGGCCTGATCCAGTGGCGTGTTATGCCCAACAACTTGCAATTTGACAATTGACATTTAAAAAACACAGAATTGCTGCAAAGAGAAAGGGTTCCTTAGAGCAGTGACAAGCCACTCAAGAAGAATCAGAAAAGTAATAATACCTAGTGTATTATATGGAGTTCTTTATAGCAGTTATCGATTAGCTTGATGCAGAGCAGGCTTTCAAGCTTAAAGCCTTTTGTCAATAAATATAATGATTAGTCTTCACACATGACTTCAGTGATCAATATCTTGGCTTATGTTTTGAAAGCCAAGTTTACCGGAAATAGGTCAATCTTCCGTGAATTCCTACCTTTTTACTAACTACCCAACTAGCTTCCTCTTCTTATTACAATTATATAACAAGCTACACTTGCCAGAAAGATTTAAAGTAGCCAGCAAAAAGGTAGAAAAGGAGATATTGGACTGAGATAAATGGGCTAACCAATTGTCCAGGGATAAGGGATCTTTGCATGAAGGGTCGGAGGAACTACCTAGGCAGAAAGGGAATCTCATCATGAACAACAGATGGAATGGGTGGTCTTGACAAGAAGCTTACCCTGGGAAAAAAGGACGACTTTGGGGAAGGAAGAGTTGGCAGAGCACACCTCTCAAAAGCCAGCAGTAGTTACCCCCTTTGTCATCTTGTGTTGTTGGTCTGTTCTGTGCGTGTTTGAGTTGTTATGTTGCTACTTTCTTTTGTCAAACGAATTAATCATGATCACATTATCAATATCAGAAGTCTTTTGAAGTTTCTGTGTTGCCTCTAGTAGAATATTGCCAGGGAGACCCTATCATTTGCTGCTTCATGTGCAAGTGTGAAGCATGTGTGTTATACTAAACTAAGTTACATCCTGATACCAATACGAATAGCATAATGTACTCTTACGCTGGATTCGGCAGAAGTCAGCAGTGATTCTATTGAAAACCAATCTACATAGGATTCATCATGCCAATACCTGCCCCTAACCAGCATGCTTCACAATGTAGATCTATAGGAAGTAAGCAGAATTTCCAGCAAAGCAAAAAACAAAATCAAAGAAAATAAAACCATAGTCCACATCTTGATATCAAGCCTAAAGTATTCAATGGTCGAACAGATTAATGATTAAACATTTTCAGTTGAAATGTTTTTACTCAACAAATATGTTCCATTTAACAGCAGAAATTTATGGTAAACCACAAGATCATCACAAAATAATACAGATAGAATGGTCTTCCAATAAATAAAAGTCAAAGGTTTACATCATCCAACATCAACCCCTCCCAAAGAAGTACTAGTTTATGATCAAACAACACCAGCTGATGACACTAACAGAAAACCAAAGTCAGAATACAATTAATACAGATACTTCCATGCCTATCAGACAATCATCCTTGCCTATTTTTTGCCTCCACCACTTCCACCAGCAGCTTTATTACCTCCAGCTTCCTGAGCTGCTTTCTTCGCTGCTTTCTCCTGTAGTGCCTTTGCATCTCTGGCCCCAAAAGAGATAGGAATAAACAAAAGTTAGGCACAGTACAAGAACAAGATACTAAAGAAGAACTAACCTTTCCCTGCGTTGCTCAGGAGTCAACCCATCGCCCTTGACCTGCTTGCCCTTGGAAGCCCTGGCCTGAGCCCTTTCACGATCTTTCTCCCTCTGGTTACCGCGTTCTCTATCGTTAAAGTCAAACAAATATATATATATATATATATATAAGTGGCCTTGCGAAGCCCACAAGACAAGATAAAAATCCATGGCCATCAGATCCCGATTGAAAACAGAAGATATAATTTCACTCAAAATAGAGATGCCGAAGACAAGGAATTTTTAAAATCTTGAAGAGAAATTTCAAATCAGACATCAATATTTCCTGATCACCACTCTCCAAAAAAAACAATGGTTACTCCCTCATTCCAAAAAGAAAGTATTTTCTCGGATTTTCAAGGAAACCAAACGGAAATTCAACCCGAGGAATAGCTAAAACTCGTGACAAACTTTTAGCGTTTACAAGATCAAAGGATATGAGTCATAATTGCTCGATTCTTCGACAACCAAACGAGATCAGAGAAGTCAGAAGCCCTGAAACACAAGAAATCATAGGGCAAAGAAATTACCGAATTGAAGAAAAAGCGAATCTCTCGACTAATCAATCAAAGAAAACACAAAGTGCGCAGACAATATAGTACCTGATAGAGATGGAGCGACCAGAAGAAACCCCAGATAGGAAAATGAGGACTTGCAAGAGACACGATTAAAATCGAGGGCTATAATATTATTTTCTGGAGTCTGTGTACCGACGGCTGATTCTTAATATTAAATTAAACTAAATAAGAAAACACAAATAAATTGTGCTGTTAATCACATATTCGCATGATAAATTTTACTTTTTCTAATTTAAAATAATAAATAATAAATATCATGTCAATATAAAATACAAAAAATAAACACATTTCCTCTATTTAAAAATGTAATGCATTTTTTGAGAAGTTGGATATTAAAAATGTAAGGTATTTTTAATTTTTTGAGGTGTAATTATTATCTTCTTTTCAAAAGTATCCTATTGATAATAACTTTATATTTATTGTAGAGTGTTTAATATGAGTAAATATAAAAAGGTAAAATTAGCTGGAAAGTAAGTAGTTATTTTATTGAAAGTAAAATTTAATTAAAAATACTTATATTTTAATGGAAGGAGTAAATGATATATGACCTAAGATTTTGTACAATACGGAAAAATATAAGTACTTAAATTACAGTCCCTTCGTTTTTAATTATAGAATAATTACTAATTATTAAATAAATACTAAATGCTTACATATTAATATCTTCCCTCCAGTTTTTAGAAGGTGTTTGAGATATTTTTCATCCAAATTAAAAACAATTATTTATTTATTTGTTTGTTAAAAAATATTTGAATTTTATAATTATATCCTTATTAATTAAAAGGATATAAATATTTTATGAAAATACGAAAGAACGTTTTGCCATTTGTACAAGGTCATCGCACTTTTTCAAGTTTTAAAATATTTTGAAAACTTAAGGGTAAAAATTAAATGTTTTTTTAATGAAATACCTTTTCATAATTTTGCAGAACAGTTTATGATTGGCCTTTTTTATTTTGTAAAGGGCTTTGTAAGAAGGACAAGAAGGAGTAACCAATTTAACTAATTTATATCTTCAACAAGTTTTTATTTTTCAGCTTTTACTCTTATTTAATTATCTTTCCATCTTAAATTATAAAATACTTTTAAAGAAGATTTAATATTTCAAAATATAAGATATTTTAATAAAAATAAGGTTTCATTAATGATACTTTTTCAATATTATCCTTTTCATATATTCTTTTTTCAATATTTTTTATCAATGGAGTATTAAAGGAAGGTTATTTTTTAAAGTTTATATTTTGTTTTGAAAAAAAAAGTTATAAAGCATATTTAATGAACCTTATTGGTATGTAAAATTTTATCTAAAAATATCTTAATAGCTAGAATGGATGGAGTACTTCGTGGTTTAAATGCTTTATAAATTTAAATATGAGTAAGTCATTTCATTTATTTATTAGGGATATATTATGAAAAATATGAATTACTCATAAAATTCTATAATCTATCTCATAAATAAGTATCAACTTTTTTTTAGAAATGTAAATTAATTAATAATGATTTATATTGTGTTTTGGAGTGAATAATCTTCCAAAAATTGTCATGTGATTTAATAGAAATGACTGAGTCCTTGGTTTAGTTAGTATTAAAAGAGTTGGAATCTTTGGACTGGGTGTCACCACCACCTTCTCCTGTTCTTTTCCAATCCAAGGATTCAAAGATCACCTCATCTCCATAATGGCTAGATTGTGTATGGAGGCCAATAAATAAGGCATTGGATTTGGATAACTTTATGTTTTGCTTGTTTATTTTATTTCATCTTGTTTTTTTGCACTAGTATTTGCTGTTTGTGAGCTAATTAATAGGCCTCTACCTCCTTTCTTTCTTTCTTCTTACTTATTAGAGAGAATCATGTTTAAAATATTATTCAATATTAAATGTGGATACCTCTTATAATGAGGATTCGAACCATGGTTCATTACATTATAAGAGACTAGCCCCTTTTATTAGACCTAACCTCTGTTGGTTGCCTTTGCATCTTTTTCTTTTTAATAAAAAATCTTCTCTAATAAAAAAATTGCTTATGAATCCTTGGCTCAGCACACTAAAGCTAGTGACATCGCATGGAGGAAAATATAAAAGCTACAAGTCCCTAAATGATTTGTTTTATGGCTTTCTTATCACAACAAACTTCTTACTAATGCAAGTCACAAGAAGCGAGATATGCATGATGATGATTGGTGTGAGATTTGCAAGGACACTATTCATGTACTCCGTGACTACCTTGCCACAAAAAATCTTTTGGATGGAGATCCTTGTGCATGAGCATAGAAGGCCATTCTTTAAGGCTAGTGTTCAAGATTGGATCAAATGAATGTGCAAGCCATGGGGAAGAATGATGGTGTCCCTTGGTGTTTGTATTTCTTAATTGCTTGCTGGCTTATTTGTAAGAGGCTAAATGAGAAAATCTTTCAAGATAAAATTGCATCTAACACAACTATTGTTGCACAAACCTTGCCTATTATTAATACTTTCAATGATCATCGTAATAAGCAAAAAGGTACAATGTGGAGGTTGGAAAATAGTCTCATTTAGAGTGCTACCTAGACACCACCATCTACTGATTGGCTTAGTTGAATATGGACAAGGGTTTTGCTATGGCCCCAACATTGCAAGCTATGGTGGCTTCTCTTGAAACTTGAACGATATCTTCAAAGTTAGTTTCATTTTAGCATGAATGGTGGGGACCTATTGATTACTAAATTTTGGGCTTGCTCATGGGGTTTCAAAATGGCTTGGGATCTTAGATATCGGAAGTTGGTTCTTGAATTTGATTCCTTTAAAGTTATGGAGTTGCTCAAGGGAAAATGTTCCTTTCCTAATTCAGATATGGATATTGTCTCTAAGATCAGAGGCCTGCTGACTCATGATTGGTTGCTGGAAGTTCATAGTGTCTAGTGTGATGCAAATGAAGCTGTTAATATGCTTGCCAAGCAAGCCTTGTTTTGTGTTGTTGGCTTTCATCCTGTGTTTTCTCCATCTCCTTGTCTACTCTTGTTCTTCAACAGGAACCTAGCTTAGTTTTTTCCTTTGTTTTATTAAAAAAAAGAATTATAATTTTTTCTAGAAACTATATTTCCTTTGAATATCAAATTCAAACTCTAATCACTTATGAGAATTTAGGTAAAATAACAACTCTAATTATGAGAATTCATAAGAAAAAAAAAATAAACTTTTTCAATTTTTTTTAACTTCTTGAAACAAGAGAGTGACCAAGACCTCTTTTTCTATCCATGAACTCCTATTCTTTTTAGGTCACAGCATAGAACATTGATAAGAACTTTACGGTTCTAAACAAAATAATAACACATTAATCTCTTAAAAAACTTGTATCTTTTGAATTATATTTTTATTAAATATCTTGCATAGTTCATTAATAATGATAATTGAAACAATAATGCATCATTTTTTCTAAAAAAAAAAGTAAATGAAATAGAAGTATAATTAAATAATAATTATAAAAATATT